AAAGGTATTATTGGAACTTATACTGCGTCTCCGGTAAATTTTTTGTCCAAGTGCAAGCATGTCTGTTGGGAAAATAGTAGTTTAAAAAAAGTTGACAAGAGCACTTCGCCACGGCGCATCGTAGAAAGAAATTTTTAAATTTTATTATGGGCGGTAGCTATAGAAGACTGAATTCAATCTTTATCACATTAGAAGCTATCGCAATTTTCAAGAGGAGTAAAAAAAAAATTTTTTTTTTTCGTTGGAACAGGAAAAAATTTTGCTGAAAAAACACAGATCAGTTTTTGAATGTTGCAGAAACTTAGACTTTATCATGCATTAAAATTAAAATTACGTTTTAACTGGTTCTGCTCAGATTTTCTAGCTGGACAATTTACGGGCGAAAAGGTAATTACGTAATTCGAGGCTGACCTCTCGGTCCGCTCTGCTTGAAATTATAAACAGTGGCAAAGTTTTGAAAACCTGTTTTTGCTATTTGTTCTGAAAACAGTTAGTAGAAGCTTTTCTTAGGCGTTTTGATGAATTGAAAATTTTAATAGAGTCGCTGGTGTCTCCTCCTTTGAATACTGAATTAGGTGTTTTATTTTGTCAGCTGCATTACAAAGTATTGCAAGATGTAGCTTCATTAAAAAAATTGCTGCCAAAGTATAGATGAGTTTGGAGCAGCGAGTGGAATTAAACTAATGCTGTTGAAGAAATGCGCTTTCAAAATTTCTTGTTGAGATTCACACAGTTTAAATTTAAAGACAAACTGAGTATACAAAAAACGAGTGTCCATAACGGGCAGTGGCAAAGGTACTTTTTTTGGGTACCGATTACACGTTCGTAGGTGTAAAAAGTTTTAACGGTTTAGGGGAAAATTTTCATTCTATTATATTCCGTATTCTGAACGTTTGGTTCAAAGTGCGCCACTTCAATAAAGGTCGAAGAACGATTTGTCGTCGTTGTGCTCGGTATTGTGAATTACACACCAAACTATGTTGGTTTTCCAAGAAGTCAAACTTACTTACGAAGAAATCCGGAGAATTTTATTTATTGGTTTACTCATCGACCCTGATGAGAATAAAAAAAAAAAATAATATGTTTTAGAAAATTCCGCAACTTTGAAAAGTTGAAAGGAACAAAAAGATAAGCGAAATTTATACTTCCTGAAACTGTCATTCTTCTCTCTGTAAGCAGAAACAGGAAAAATATAAGATGAACGTATGTCATGTCATTTCTAACTTTGTGGAGTAAATGAAAAGTATTTGAGAAACTTAAATACACTGAAGACTAGAGGGGGAATTGTCCTCTCCCAGCAAAACAATAATCTGGTGAAAAAATTCATTTCGAGTCCGTTGTCGTAAGATGCCGATCATTGGAGTCAGATTAGCCCTTGCTTAAAGCGAAGTGAGGAGCTTATTTTAGGGCAGTAAACGAACATAAATACAGTTAAAGTGAATCTAAAAAAATTCAGCAGGTTGAAGTATGTCAGTAAAGGTTCTAAGTGAGATGCCATGGTCACTAATTACCTCAGCCTTCCCCTTGAGTTCTGCCATAGTTAGGCTAAACAAACGTCGGAATCTTACAACGATTCGTAAGGAGGCTAAAGTTGCTCTAATATGTTCGACAACCTTAACGCTATGCTAAAACATCTGAAGTTCTATGGTATTCAATGGCAGTCTTTTTAAAAAGTTTTTGTAGACTTGGGTTAGCATGGTTTGTAAGTTAACTACACCTGTTAAATCTTGACCGATAAACGTAACTCTAATGCAAATTTTTACATTTTGGGAGTACTACACAGAACTACACATACCGCTTTATTTAGCAGAGATATAAATTGGATTACAGTTTTCTTGAATTTGTGTTTCTTGGATTTATTTTTTTAAATTTTGGTAACGGAGCATAACGAGCAGAGGTTCAAAATTATGCAATCTTGCAAAAAGTAGTCAATTCGCATTTGCAACTGCCAGACATTTTGTACTTCATGCTAAATAAACCAGTGTAATAGCAGTTTCAAAAGAAGCAGATTTAACACGACAGTGCTGTGCCTCACTGTGTACAGTGCTTTAGCCTGGTATGCTCCCAAGCTCCCTTTTTCCTTGGTAGGAATGAACGACAAAAAACACGATTCTTCAAACAAAATTAGAAAAGTCAGAGAACTATCATCTATTTGTTACGTGCTCCTTGAAGACGGTACTACGCATGTTGGCTTTAGTATAACTGAACGGTGCAAAAACCTAACTGGCTGGGCTTCTTTTGTTTAAGACAAGAGGAAAAATGTTTATCGCGGACTGAGAGT